CGGAAGAGTCGCTCGTGGTAGAAGCTACTGTTTGGGGCTGCTGGGACGCCGATCGATTGCGGTAGCTCCTCCTCGTCAACTCCTCCACCTTCTTCCGGAAACACTCTAAACTTTTCAGTTTTTGCTCGTGATCGGAACTCGTATCGTCCGCACCTCCGTCGTTCCCTTCGTTACGCGTTTGCTCGCTGTTTTTCCCCCCCGTGGTAGAAATACCTGACTTAATGCCGCTGTCAGGGGTGCAAGGAACCTGAAGCGATTTGTTGTTCGGCGTCGATGGTCCGTCCTCGCGACGGACATCCTTACCGGCATTACCATTCATGCGATTCTTCGAACCGGTAGCGGTCCTTTCCCCCTCCGATTCGTCATCGAGCTTCTGCCGTTTACTTTGGCTCTTACCAGAACAATTCTCATGTGCGCTGTTTTTGCACTTACGATGCTTTCGTCTTTGCGCTTTCGTGGACGCATCCGAGTCAGTTTTAGAATGTTTTCGTTTTGTTCCGAGGGCGTTATTATCCTCGGAACTACTGCTGCTGCTGCTGTTGCTGCTACTATTGCTGCTGCTACTACTGTAATTCAAACGCTTGTCTTTCTCGATCGCGTTGGCAACGCGATCAACGTATCGTGATGATCTTCGGGAAATCACGCCAGAACTGGTGCTAGGTTGAGCCGCATCGATCGGTCGCTCATCGTCACTGTCTGAATCACTATTGACCTTTAACACAGTACACTTTCTCCTGGCGGATATTCTTCTTCTGCCGGCGGGTAATTTAGTAATTTTCCTTTTCACGCCCTTCGATTTCGATTTCGATTTGGATCTACGTCTCGCGTGAACATTGTCTCCTTCGCTACCGGTATCCGAGGCGGATCGCTCCAGCGCAGCCATTCGCATGAGCTTCTCCCTGCGATTCGCGATAAGCCGAGTTATGCGATTCGGCGATTCTAACGGCCGTTCGGGAGCTACGCCGCCTTCTGATGCTGTGGTATCTGCGATGAAAAATAATAAAATATAGTAAATAAAAAAAAAAAGATTATATAATGTTGAGTGAAACATTATGCGATGCTATGAGCCACAATATAAAACAAGCATATTTACAAAAAAAGTAATCGATATAAAATACTTCTCATCATACATAATCATCAAAATATGCGATTACTGAAACAGAAGAAATAGAATTTATCTATGAAACTTGAGAATCTTCTTTCTATGTGTATCTGAAATTTTTTTCTTTTTTTTTGCAAAAATATTGCTTGGCCCATTTTCCATCTCGCTTATGATATATCAAGAATATATGCTCGCTATACCATCGAAATCTGTCGCGCTGTACGGCTCGCCCGTTGCCGGATTGATCTCGGAATCGCTGGGGGTATGCGGCGTTGGCATATCCTCGGAACTCCAGCCTTCAATCTCGCGCTGTACAAGAGAATCGAAGAAGGCCATCATTCGCGGATCCTCCTTAGTCGATTGGTGGCTATAATCGTGCGTCATAAACTGCCCGCTGCGTAAAACCAGCCCTATATATTCATCGTGCGTGAACACTCGGCGTTGTCTCTCCCGCTTACCAGCATCTCTCTGGAAAAAAAGAAGAAAACATGATGGTAGAAACTCTAAGAATAAATCAAATCGTAAAGGATTATCGTAAACAATTGGCAACCTTCAATCCACCCAGACACCCGGTTCCGAGCGGGAACGGGCTCCAGATCTTTATGATCTTCTCGACGCCGGACGACGCAAAGATGCAACTCGCTTGATTGTATCGGACTTGATTGACGATCGATCTATGGCCACGCAACACCATATGAGCGGATTCTACCCATGGTTTGCCATCCATTGGGGGAATTTTCCACATATACAAATTAAAATCGTCCGAACCTGCCAATTCAATGCATCGTCAATTAACATCATTTTTTTTACGATTAGCATCTACTATAAATATACAGGCGCACATACGCGAGCATTTCTCGTATTAGATATACCTACCTGATAAAACGTATTCGTCGTTTTCGCCAGCAAAACAGCACGACTTCATAGTACAACTATTGTAATATCCCGGATGATCGAATTCGCACAAATACGTGGGAGAATCGACCGCATAAAGAACCGGAGGTAATCTTCTTCGTAAGGCCAGCAATCGGTTACCCACTGAGTTAAACCTGACATTCATACAGCTCTGTTGTGGACTTCCGTAGCACAATACAGGCCTGTGAATGGAAACATGGATTTTCAGTAATCATATATTATATTTCTTCTTTATCCAGTCTTTATCTATACAAATATTAATTTACTTACTCCAAAGGTTTTCGTACATCCCACATACTGACACCTTCTTTAGCATTGGCAGTAGCAAGCATTCTGGAGTCCACAGGATTAAACATGACAGAGTGAAAAGCGCTTTTATACTGCGCCAAGCAGAGAGTTTCCGTAGTGCTGTTGCTACGTATGTCGTAAATCAAGACTCTCCCATCATCGCAGGCGCTAGCAAAAACATCATCATTGTGCGGATGAATGGACAGTCCGTAGACTGGCTTCTCATGTAGAAAGTAGCTGAGAGGATCGCTCCTGCAACATCAAAACAAGATATCTGTAAACCTGATTGCTCGTAAAGTTGTAAATATGTTTCATATTTTCTTCTTTGTTCAGAAAAATTGCCTTACGTTCGCAAATCATGGACTATAACTTGATCATCATTCCCCGCGGAGAATATCTTAGTCTTACTGCTGTCATAACCGAGGCAAAATATATTGCTGGCATGTTGGGCTTTCATTACAATGGGTTTGCCCATACCCTGTATCGCTTGCTCCACTCTCCATAACAGAACTCTTCTATCGTCGCCCCCTGTGAAAACAAGACATTGCACATTATATGATTCATCTCTATCATCACACATGATTCATCTCTATTGGAAATTATTTTTAATTTCTTTTTAGTGATATATCTTCATACGACTAAAACTTAATTTCTCAAACACAAAGATACCAATATCTCCGTTGAACTTGCCGGACTCAGAGTGAGCTCATGATTAACGGGCACTGTGTCAAGAGGAAAAAAAAGAGAGAGAAGAGAACATAATTGATATTGCAAGATTGATTAAAAGATCAGGAGAGACTTAATTAAAATCGTTAATAAATTTAAATCAATTAAAAAAAAAGTCTACATTAAAATTATCTATCGGAATTATAGGTCTTGAATTTGAATCCTGAAGAGAATTATGTTGACGTGACATCGATCGAGGTGTACGAAATCTCGAATTATGACAGTTCTCTTCCACAGCAAGCAGGAGAGAAAGAGACGCGTGATATAAAATTGCTAAAAAGTCCTGACCGGACACGAGCAGGTCGCCCTGGTTTGAGAACTCGATCGCGTTGACGCATCCGTAGTGTGACAGGAGGTCCTTCCTGTAGAGGTTCTCGGAATTCTCGAATCTGGCGTTGACCAAGCGCCTGCAGTAGTCGAGCCTGTCGTCGATCTGTCGCGCGAGGACGTACGACAAGGCGCTGCACTCGGACGGATGGTCCATCATCTCCTCGCTTTCGCCACCTCCAGCACCTCCTCCACCATTACCACCCTCGCACGATTGTCGCAGACGTCGACGACGTCGTCGGAGGCTGGCGGCGCGATACCGGACGCGATCGTCCTCGTCCTTCTCGGCCTTCGTCGGCATCGTCGTCGTCGTCGTCGTCGTTCCCTTTCGTGGAGGATCCGATGCGTTTTATTATTCTCTGCTGGGGGACACGAGCGTCGCGGTCAGCAAGAGAAAGAAAGAAAGACAGACAGAGAGAGAGAGAGAGAGAGAGAGAGAGAGGGAGGAGAGCGCCCTTCGCGCAGCACGGGATCGCCGAACACGTCGCGATCACCGCGCTTTCTCCTCTTCCTCCTCCTCCTTCTCGAAGGTTGTTTACTACGCACGAGTGTCCACCGGTCGTACCCGATCGACGAGGGATATTCCACGGACACTTCTTCTTCGCGATACGTCACGAAAATCGTCGCTCGAACCTCGAACGCCGCCAGCAGCAGCTGCACGCGAAAGATACAGGGTGATACGTAAACGCCACGACGCACGTATACAATGTGTACAATACACACACACACACACACACACACTCCACCGTCAATTTTATACTACTACCACTACCCACTACCGTCCCCAAATCCAATCCGATCGGCCGACCCGACAGGTCCCGTCCTGTCGCTGCTCGTTCAGCTCGATCAGCTGATCGGCCCTCTCCTCCTCCCCTCCACCCACCCGACACCCGCGCGCGTGCGGTCGCTGCTTCTGTGCTTCTGTCTGTCCTGTTGACGCTCGTTACTGCTACTTGTCACGTTGTTGTAACTCGAACAGCGCATACAATCGCATTTTCGTGCCGGTATTGGATTAATCTGCGGTTAGACCGTGCTTCAACGAGGACGATCGTCTCGATTATCGGCGATTATTAGTGCATACTTCCGTATCTCCGCACGTACACACGATCGGCAAATTCCGACGTAAACACGCGGCGAATTATGGAAACTGACGGCGCCTCGCGGACATTACATGTACTACTCACGGGCCCGCCAGGTAAGTATTTTTTAAAAATTTTGTATTGTTTCATTTCAATTCTCATTTTCAAAAAATTAGATATTTTTTTCAAAATCATATATTGCCTAAGATATCATTATTAATCAATACTAATGTTAATATTTGTATATCAATATTAGAGTACCCAGATATTTCGGAGATATCTTAGTCAGATATTTAGCTGTCATAAAATTCTACTCGCAATCAGAAAATGACAATGTAGATAAGATAATATACAATAGGCTTACTGTCTTGTGTCATATGATTGCATTTTCTCACACAAGAAAAACTAATAAACAAACATTTGAAAATATATACTGACCTAGTATTGTAAATAAAGTTGTAAATATAATTTTTTACAAAGATGTCCAAATATACCAGTGATTTTCAAGTAAAACAAGGATTTTAATATACTTATTATCTGCAACTTTAAATATTGTAAACTATAACATAAATAATCATTTATGGAAAAAATCCAGGTTACAGTCCTGTGTAATATATTAAGGAGAAAAAAAAGTTTCACTATCAGAATGACTTTTATAGGTATAGGTAAAACTACAGTGTGCAAAAAGGTCGCATCTACCTTGGAGAAGAGCAAGAATTTTGACGGATTTTACACGGAGGAAGTGCGAGATCGTAGCGGCTCCAGGATTGGTTTTGACATCGTGCGAGTACGAGATCCTGAAAGAAGATTGTCCTTGGCACGATTAAAGTATGTGTCTCTCCTCTTGTGCTCGTAACATTATATACAATATACCAATAACAACAAAACAAGGTGTAACTGTAAATCCATATTGTACTCCATCGTATTGTCTTTACGCGCAGAAATTTAACGGACGGTCGGCAGGCTTTTGAGCATCAAGTGGGAAACTACCGGGTCTTCCTGGATAACTTCGAGGCAGTGGCGCTTCCAGTAATGGATTTGAATACTGTAAGAGTAACATTTCTCTTAAAGCGAATTTGTGTGACTACCTCCTCAATTCGATAACGTAAAGTTACATATCTCTCCTTTGCATAGGATATATTATTCGTTGACGAGATTGGCAAGATGGAGTTATTTAGCAAAGACTTCAAGGAGAAAGTAACCGACATATTGTTGGGTTCCTCTAAGAGAGCTTTCGTGATTGGGACTATTCCGCAGATGCACAAAGTGCCGCGACAGCACGCGGCATTGTTTGAAAATTTACATGCAGACGAGAGAATTAAGATTCTAAACGTGTCTCGCGAAAATCGGAATAATTTACCGGAGGAAATTATTCGTTTTTTATAAACACATCTCGATTAATGCACTCGTAATTTATTGTGTCGTCATCTCATATGTAAATGCATAAAATAAAATATCGATTTTTATATGTACATTATAAACATCATTTATTGTTAACAAAAAACAAAATGTGTTAGATGAAATCCATCCAATCACAATAGATTTGTAAAAAATTGTCACTAATAACATGACAAGTTGTGCGATTGGATGGAATATTGTACTACATAATTATGCTAACTTGCATATGCATTTATATATATTTTCATAATAATTATATTTAAATTCCACCATGATCATTAAAGAATCAATTAAAAGTATCGTGATATATGAGTCTGTATTTATATAAATAATAGATCATAAGTTAAAACCTTATATGTGTTGCTGTGTGGAAAGATATTGGGGGAATTAACATTTTTTGCTCTCTATTTATATGGTGCATGCGCTCGCGGATATCTTTAACGAGCAAGGTGGTCCTATCAATTGAGGGTACAAAATAGAAACGTTCCCTTTTCGCGTTATTTTATTACAAACGAACACAAATCACTGTTTAGTGTTTTAAGTGAGCCATCGGTTTTACTTATCGTAGATAAGATCACTTTCTTTTCATCTATAATCTATTATCACAGATAAGAAAACCGAAGTAGATTTGTTTGCGTTTCCTAAAAAAATAAGCAAACCTTTCTTACTTTTGTACCCATCAATATTATGCATTCTCATTGCATTTTATAATACAGAAAAAATTCTTTCTGTAATCTCCTAGAAAGAATTATTGTTGTGGAGAAGCACCTAACGTATCTCTTACCTTCTCCATTTCGGTATCAAATATATTACGCACACTTTGATTGGGCTACTTATATCTCAGTTATTTTATTTTCATTTATCAATAATACCTAGAGGTTGTTCCACTAGCACATGAACTTTAGTAAAGAATTGGCATAAGCCATCGGCCTTACATTAGGATGAGGCTGTAACAAAACAAATACATTAAACGATCTTTTTATATAACTACAATTCAAAATGTAATTGTAATTTTAAAAAAATGTAAATAAATGTAAATACTCTGAATAAAGTATACACACCATTGCTTCGTATGATGTAAAATATGGTTTCATATCTTTGCCATTAAGTGTGATAAAGGCACCTCGGTTACCCATAGTATCGCTGAAACATTATGCAATGCAATATTATGTTATTGAAATTACATCATAATGCAATTTTATATTATCAAAGTACTGAAATTTTATATTATCAAAGTTAGATTCATAACGCAGATTGTATTGTTATAACGCATACCAGTAGTTTGGAGCGGAGAACACTGTGATACATTTTCCATCATGCCCGACTTCATAACCGTCGTTCTTCACCTCGTGACTCCTCACGATGTAATCGAGTGAATTTATCCTGAGGAAATTCTGCGTGACATCGGGTCCGAATTGAACTCCTACACCTCTTTTGCTGGGCGCGCGGCCGTTCTGCGGTTGCGGATCTGACCACAACAATTCGCACATCAACCCTTCGTCCGGCGGTTGTCTGTTTCTGTCGATTTCCTTGATCTCTTGCAACGTCACGTCGTCCCGCGAAAACAATCCGCCGTGCATCACCTGGTGATGAATCCATTACAATTTCACCAAAATTATACATTTGATATTCTTTCAAAGATATGAATACAAATTATATGACAGCTTTGATAATACATCATACTCACAAGCACTCTATTATTAAGGCAGTGTGCAAGAGGGAGCCAATTATAAACTTCTGTAAACAATTCTGCCATTTGAGTAGAATATTTAGCTTTTACTTCACCATCAAATCCGTACATTTGATTCATTGTTGCCGATTCATGATTGCCTGAATAAATAAAAATGTAAAGTGCGTAAACTCGAATTTCAGAATGTCGAGAAATAAGGATTACATACCTCTTGACATGAAGAAGTGATTTGGGTATAATAATTTAAAACCAAATAAAGTAAATATACATTCTACAGAGAAGGAGCCTCTGTCTACAAAATCTCCATTAAATAACTATGCAGCTATTAAGGAATATATTCTTGGATTAAAAATATATAAAGTTTTATGTATGTGATATCAGTATCCAAAGTATTCTTACTTTTTGTATGTTTATAAACACATTAAACAAATTTATATCATCTACATTTATCTACCTTTATAAAGGATACATATGGATTAGTTTCTGATGGTAATCCGTTCAACTCAAATATATTAAGCAAGTCGTAAAATTGACCATGTATGTCACCGCAAATTGTGAATTTACTATCTTCTGGGATTGTAATATCCACTAAACTAGGTTGTGCCATAAACCACGATTTAACATCCAACAGAATCTTGTAAGCATACTTGCGATGCAATTTATTTTGATTTCTATACCACTCTAATAAATCTTGCATAAACTGTAATGTGACTTTTCCATCAACCAATTTAGGTCCCGTGTATTCATCCTCAATAGCTAAAAAAATAATATAAGGGTGCTATCTTTTAACTACTTATTAATACTAACCAGCTTTGAATTATTTGCATTCTTTAACAAAATTTTGCATAAAAAAAAAAATATGTATATCAAATCCTATCTTGTTTCTTCTTCTCTACAAAAGTTAAAGAATGATAATTATATTCAAAAATCACATTACTACAGTGTATCAAATCCTCAAAATTCTTAAAGAAAAGAAATTAGATATATTTAGTTTTACATAAATATCATAAGTTGACAAATAGAATTCACATTGAGAAATAATGTTATTAAAGTCAAATATGTTAGAGAAATTTATTCTTTTTATATCAAATGCACAGAGTGCGTCAAATACTCACCCATAGCTTCTAAATTGATCATATCGGCTATATTTTTTTTTTCTTCTACAGAGATGGCCTTCTGAAAGGCTAATACTTTAACCATCTTGCAACATTCCATATATCTCTCCTTTGCATCCTTATCATTGGGCCTTGCCTTTACGACAGTTCTGTAGTCCGTAAGGGCTAATTTGAACTTGCTGAGGGCCATGTAAGCAGCGGCTCTGCGATAGTAACCCTTTACATAATTTTTATCTAATTCGATGGCTTTGGACGCGTCTGTTAATGCGTAACCGAAGCATTCCGTCCTCAGGTAAGCGATACTCCTATTACCATAGTACACAGCTACTGACGGATTTAATTCTATCGCTTTGGTATACAACTCGATGGCTTTATCATACACTTGATCTGAAAAAAAAAAGAAGGTAAGAAGATATAGTGATCAATATAAAAAACAACAATCACGTCATTTTCTATTATCTGGCATAGTACATATCCGAACGCGTGAGAGTTTTCCGAACTCGCGTTACGAGAATGTCGAGAACTTCAAGATAAAATTAAAGCTTCATATACATATGTCAAACTTGTGTCACGCAATCGGGAAAATTCAACGCTCTTCNNNTCCCGTTCTCGCGGAAATTTGTCCTCCCACGCGAGTTCGTTGAATCGCAATTAGTTGGGTTAGTTCAAGATACACGTGACTGTACGATGGATATTAAATATGACGTGAGATACATCGATCCCGCACGTGGACGTACTTTTGAAGTACACGTTCGCCTCCTCCTTGAAAAATTCCGCCCTGGCCGCGTCTTTCGTCTTCGGCGTCTCTGCACATTCGTTCTCGCTCATCCTCACAGTCTGCCGCCGAACCTTGTTGTACGAGATGTATTTGTCTACCAAGGCAAATCGACAGGAAATCAGACACTCGGAATTACGCGGCTGCGTAACGAAAATTCACGCATCAAAGTGCGTTCCTCCCTCGTCGCATGAGACGGCATATAAGAGAGCGTGCACTTCTCGTCCTCGAGACTGTACCACCGCAAATTCCGCTTCTTTCTTCGTCCGCTGCTTTCTGAACTAAACTCCTGACCGGCGATGTTCGATTCATCGAATCGCTAATCGATCATTCTTTACGCATGCGCAATCGGCGGCGAATAAAGCCCGTATCAGACTACGCATTGAAAATTGAGATTCAAGATTCAAGATTGAAATTTGACCAATCAGGACAAAGAAATTTTAGTCCCTTTTAGGTGCCTTTACATGGCAGCGTCAAGCGTCGAACGTCTGCGCAGAAAATTGCGCAGAATCTAATTTCAGCCTAGAATCTATCTCTTTTAAATTCTGCGCATTTTTCTGCGCAGACGCTCGACGCTTAATGCTGCCATGTAAAGGCACCTTAATGCTGCCATGTAAAGGCACCTTTTGTTCTGATTAGTCAAATTCCAATCTTTAATCTTCAATCTTCAATTTTCAATGCGTAGTGTGACGTCTCGCCATTTTTCTAAACCATATTTTAACTAATAATTAAGTACCGTTTTTATTCTCGCATTATACCTATGGAATATAGAACAATTATTTAA